GTATACATCCATACCTCTGCCAAAAATATAGTACAGTGATTTACTGATAAATACACTTAAGGTGGAGGSAAGATGGGAAAAAAAATCAAATTCTCAAGCCAGGATACAACAAAATCCCTTGTGACACTCACTGCAGCAGGGAAGAGGGAGAACTACTGAAGGAGCCACCTGCTGAATTCCTGTTGCCCCCAGGATAATACCTGCATGGAAACTCTTTTGTTTTGGCATATTCCCTGTGCAAGGCACGCCTCCAGAATGCCGGCTTCCAGAAATAATATCCCAGGATGGGGAGTACTGAGGAGCCGGGGCAGCAACCTTGACCCAGGCCTTTCAATTCAGTTTTGTGTGAATTACAGCAAATTGCGGTGGGTGTTTGTGTTGGATGCAGAGMAGTTGAATAGCTGCCCATTTCCCCACCAAAGCAGCTCTTTGGGAGTTGATTGGTGTTCCTAGGAACAGAAACACGGAATAGCACTGGAAATGACAGGACAGCACAGTRCAATTTCACTAAGAAGGATGCATGGGGTATTGCGTGAATAGTATTTTTTTGAGTTTCAAGACTGAACTTAGGGAAGCTCTTCACAATTTGCATGTGAGATGCTGGTCCACTCTAGTGGCAGACACTCCCAGGAGCACAGGCTAATAAGGAATAATTGATAATGGAGAATGCTCCTCCAGGCTCCCTGCCCAGGGCCCACTGACCCACTGCAGCACCAGGCCTTGTTTGCTTATCCCTGGAGCAGCACAAGACATTCCAGGGAAYGGCACCAACCTACATTTGGAGTCTCACTCTGGGAAAACCCACTACATCACAACTATTTATGTTATGAAAACATCCAAACAGGGGAAAATGAACATACTTTAAATAATAGCTTATTTAAATTATTTTCCCTAACATTTATTTTTCTTTTCCCCACCCTTTTGTTTTTGTTAGATCACACTTAATATGATTCCACGACACCAATGCTGGGGATGAAATTGAAAGCTATATTCTTCTAAATGTGTTCCCAACATTCCATTTTTTACAGAGCTGCCAGGGGCTATTCTGCATTCCCACAACGGCAACAAATGTAACATATTGTTTTGCAATAAAAATTAGCTATAAAAGTGTGAAAAAYGCCAGAGATCCAAATGTGAGAAACAAGAGAAGGGGGTACGGCTTTCGCACCCTTTTAGTGGACATTTTATTTATTTTTCAAATGGAGTAGACATATTTATAGCTACTGTATTTCAATTATCTCTAATTTCACACATTTTATGCAGATTCTAGGCATTTTAATTGCAAATGAGAAGGGAACTTATTTTTAAAAGTGGAGCAACACAACATTTCAGATCTCAATTTTAATTCCAAATTTATMCACATCACTGTTAAAAACTTTTAAAACCTCATTTACACTGTGACTTAAAATTAGGTGCGATTTCAAATAAAAACAAAAGACCATACCTATGAGTTAGAGTTCCAAAACCTCTCTGACACATTCTTCAATCTTTTCTTTTTGAATTAAAATTTTTAGGTAGGAAAGTTTGGGAAGCTGAAGTGACATTATTAATCGGTGACACATTATTTCAACAAGAGTCAGTAATTTAATAGTATTGTCCATAACTGATGAAAATTAATACATTACCCGCCCTATTTTCTCTTTCTGTCTCTATGACTCCAATAACCCAGGGCATGGGTTATTAGCTCAATCCCTGCTCAGCCGTCACTCAATGGGAAATTCTTCCAAGGGGATAAAACCACAGCTCAGCCTTTGGCTGGATAAAAATTCCCACTGTACACTAAAAGCATTAGTGACAAATGCCTCTCTTTTCCAAGCAGTATTCCCGGTAGCTTACTCCTATGGAACGCTAATAAGCTAAATAAAATGTTTGTGACAAATTCAAAACCACTTGAACCCATGCTGGTCTTAAGCAGGGATGGTTTTCCAAATGATCCTAGAGCTCCAAATTAACCTAACAGGTTTAAAATCACACATGTGCCTATGGAGCCTTCTAAGCAGAGAATCCACTGCTTGATTTCTCGCTATCCAATAGAAAAGATCTCTAAAAGTTCCAACTGCTTACTGAAAGGCATGAAATAATTTTATTATAAATGGAAATTTACTGTCTGGAGCATGTGGAGTTTTTCTCTGCTTTCTTTCTATTTGGTAATTTATTTAAATGCATTCAAAAATGCATTCAGAAAATGAGACATAGCACTTTAGTTAAGACATCTGTATTTCAAACCAACATCTTCGGAACTGTGAGCAGCTCTGTTAATAGTCTTTTTATTTGATTAGGGTAATCTGCTGCTGTGCTGTCTTAATCTTTATCCACTACCTTTTAACCAATCAATATTTTAGGGTTATAGATTTGGAAGGTAGGCAATAATTTTGTAGATAAACTCTCTAGGCACTGCTGACATGGTATGGTTGCATATTTAATATCTTTTCTGAGGATTCACAACTCCAGCAATGTAAGAATCTGCCTAGGGGGGAAAAAAAAGTTAAACCTTAAATTTTCAAAGCTGTGTGCGGGGATTTGGCCACCTGCCTCCTATTAATGTCAATGAAAATTTAGAGGTAAGAAAAGCAATGTCTTTTCCCTCAGATCATTCTGGCTTTGAAAGGAACCAGAGAAGAAGAGAGAGGAAATTAAAAGCAACTTTGTACCACAGGCTGACACMAGCAAGGTCTGGTGGTACAGCAGGAATGGTACAGAGACAAAACATTTGTTCACTAAATGAACGAGCATCTCCACACATATCAAAAAAGCAAGGTACAAAAAGTTCAGAAGGAAAAAAAATTAGATTTTCTGGTCTTAAAATGTCATTAAAATATATCTTTTTTAATTTTGCTGAGCTGAAATTATCTGTTGCTTACGATATTAATTTTGCTGCAGATAAAATTAGTTGTCAGACTTCTGTTTATGGCTTAATTACCTTTTCTAAGGGGAAAAAAGAGGACAGGAGAAATAAAAGGAAGAACAATAAAATGCAGTAATCTACTTTCCAGCAAGAGGGATTCCTAGTGATGTGTTACCTGTGTGGACTTCACTAGTGCCAGGCACGTGCTTCATACACATAAAACCAGATGCATTTGGGCTTTTTTACCAATCTGGGCAGTGGCAGATTCTGTCTGCCCTCATTTCCATGCCTGAGGACAGACAGGACAGGTCAAATCAAATCACCCTCAATTAGTTCTAGAAAACTGGCAATCTTGTCATGATTTAAGCTCCTTATAGTAAGGAATGAAGTCAGGAAAACTGAGGCCATCACCTTGAAAAAAAAAAGGCATTGTAAATTACTCATTTCTTCTTGAAATATTTGTCCACTTTGCTTCCAGTTTTGGAAAAGATAARTGGATTTTTCATTGTTTAGAAGTGGATGCCAAAGCATTGTAAAGAAGACTTGCGAAGACAGAGCCTTGTGTTACAGATGTCAGAAACCAGCACACTTTTGTTGCTTTTCCACCCAATTCTTCAGCAAGGAGCAAGAATGACAAATACGGAATATTTCTTAACAGCTCTTCTCATTATATTAAGCTCAAAAATGAAATTAATTGGTACAGCATTCCCRTTAATCGAGTTGCAACCACAATACCACCTAATTGCAGCTCTACCTAGCACAGTTGGGCATGGCACAGACAGAAGGTGAGAGAGCCTGGCCTCAGACAGAGGCTATCCTTTGAAGTGTTTTGAGCAGCATTGCCATGAGATCTGCCCACCTGCATTTTGGAACATATTTGACAAACAAAAAAAATTTGTATCTGTGTTCATTTCACAAGATAGAAATGTCTCTTTCGTGGTAGGAGAAATCCTGCTCCTGGGAAGTGATCCTAATCTAATCTGACACGCAGTATTTGTAACCGTACTTTAGTGTCCCAGCCTATTTACAGTGTTTACATAAACCACCCCCCCGAAATCTCCACATTCCCTGAAAAGTTAATCCAGTACAAATATTGACTGCCTGTCAATTGAGCATTATTGACTTGCTCYGGGACTGTGCTTTATTGCCTTAACTGATGAAACTTGTTTTCTTTGCTAAACTTAATTTCTTTTCAGCCCCCTTTGTATGAAATGCCATTTGTGAATCCGCTCCTCTTCATCCCACTGCCATGAGGTCACCTCCTACACTCAAATGGAGTGGTGGGACAGCCTCAAAACTTTGCAGAAGGAAGGCAACAAACCCACWACTTATTCTACAAAAAGCACCTGGCCCAACACCAGTCCTATCTCCTGTAAATATTTGGCCCACACCAGCTCCAACACAGCAATTTACTCCTTTGCTTGTACAGAAAAGTGTCTCCAGCAAGGCTGGAAGGGTCTGTGAACCCTTCAGTGGAGTCTGTGAAAAGCAGACTGATTACCAGGAGCTGAAATTCTCAGTGACAGTCTATAGCYTTCACTGGGAGGTGGTGGCAGGGTTTTTTTTAAGGAATTCTAAAATTCTAAAAGCTAAAACCTTGGATGTCTTGCATCTCTTTATCAGGAATGGTACAAATCAGCTTGTCCAGAAGCCAAAGTTCATGAAACACACACACTCATCATGTYCTGAACACCCAAGAAAACATTATTCATCATTTCATTTTTTTTTAAACTACAATCCCCAGATACAGCAAAACAGAAACCAAAAATAGCAACTTCCACAACATTCCCTGATTCTGCAACAAATTCCATCAAACGTTCTAAGTTCTGATCCCCAGGTCAAGTGAGACCGACAATAAATCTTAGGAAGGATTTGATATCGTTAAGCTGCAAAACCCAAAGATCCATTACAAAAGATTTATCAGAACGTATAAAGAATGAACCCAAAATGTTTCAGTCAATGCAGGGAAGGACAAAAGGGTGGAATGGCAGACACGAGGGGATGGGTAGATCTTGAATAATCAAAGCYAGTTACTAAGCAGGTATTTTTCTCTGATATCAAAACAACATTTAGGAATGAATTAGCCAAAAAAAATGCAGGTAAGACAGATATGGGGGGGTTGTTTGTGAGGGAATGTACCAGAGCAGGCACTTACAGTTTGCAGAGCTCCATCTGCTTCTCCACACGGGGCTGCTCTTAGAGCCCTGCTCAGCTCCAGGGCAGGATTTGGTGCCATCATCTGCTCCTTCCTCTGTTCTTATCAGTTGCCTAGAGAGAAGGGCAAYGAGAGCAAAAAACAGGGATGCATCACATTACTATACCTTCATTCAATATCTTTATAACTTTTTATGGCTGGCTCAGGTGAGACAGTCCAGTTCTTTTAATCAAACATTCTCAGATCATCCTTTTAGGAACTGAACAAAGTCATGATAGTTTTGCTCTCAGTTTGCCAGCCACACGAACAAGCTCATTCCTGCCTAGTTTTCTGCTTGATTTTCAATTTTTAAATTTTGTTTTTAATTTCAGCTCATACAAGTAATTTTTTCTACAAGACTTCCCCTCCTTTTAAATGAAAGGCTTCTTCTGAACATTTGACAAGTGGAAGAATCCACCCTATAACATCAGCTATGCCAAGAATRCACCTGCTCTCTGTGAAAATACTTTGGCTTGAATTATGTTAAATGTTAATATTTTCATTGGTTTATAAGTTTTGGGGGTGGGTTGGCATAAAAATAAAAACARAAAAAAAAACCCAGGTCATTACAAATTTTACCCTTTTTTAAATAAAATGGGGTTGATGAACAGTAAGATTTTTCTTTTATCATTCAAATCCTGCAAATGAATTTAAGCTAAGCCAGTTTAGTTAAGAGTCTACATGCACAGAATTATAGCAGAGTCAAAAAGCCCCTGGAATCAAGTCTACAGGGGACCCCAGATGTATTTGAACCAACCWCAATCACTCCATCAGTATGAGGTGCAAAAAGTGTCAAAAATAACAAAAACACTGACAGTCCAAATGTTTAAAAGCTTGGGTTTTACTGTTGCTCAAAATCCTTCCCTCCCCACATATCTGTACATAATCATCATCATCATCATCATCAAAAATAAGCCCTCAAAATCAAATAGTCTGTGGTATTTTAAGAGAAATGAATGTTCCTAAGACAGCTTAGGAAACCAAATCCTTGTAATAAATAATATATGATGAGTTAARGAGGTGAACTGGCAAAGTGGTGCACCTGTAATCTCTCCCCTGCAAGAGAAGGGCTGAATCACTTGCACAATATTTTCCTTTGAGCATGTTCAGGGGTTGCTCCTCCACTCCARTTTCTCAAGAAATATCATGCTCTACTCATTTACCAGCCTGACTAAGCTACACGTCAGCAACAGAGTCAGTTGTCACCTGCAATTTTACAGTATAAGAATAACATTTCAGAACATACACTTATTATAATTGATTATTTCAGGGCAGGTTTGAATTGGAGATGAGAGAGTAAACCACCGCTGGGCACCAAGGACCACCTCACTCAGGATTTCCAGTTAGTCCTTTATTCCAAACTTGAAATGACACCTCCACCTAAACAACSATTTTAAATAACAAACTACCCCAGGAAAAAAAAAAAAAAAAAAGTCCTGCAGCGTGGCAAAGATGCCAGGCACATAAAGAACATTTATTGCCCATATTTCTGAGCAATAAAATCAATGTCACCTTATAATACCTTCATCCCCCTTGTCTAATGTCCCTCAACAGATTCCTAACCAGTGCTGTTCAAATATTTCAGGAAAGGCAGAAGTAAAGATCATGAGCAAGGATTTCCCACCTTCCACCAGTCCCATACTTCTCTACTGAGGGCACATTCTTTCAGTTTTTCCTCTCCGGGCTTTGCCATCTAGGAAAAAAGTATCCCTACAACATTCAGAACCAAAAAGCACAGGAATGCACCAGCTTTTGCTGGTGTGTATTTTTTTTTTGCGAAAAAATACACAGCTTCTGAGCAATAATTGTTGAAGGAGGGAATGATTTTTGGTGGTGCACATCACACAGGAATTTGTTTTGCTCTAAAGAGAGCAAGAAAAAAAGAAATAAAGGAAGAAAAAATTACAGTGTTGAGTCAGTGATAAAGCAGTAGATTTCAAATTCCAAATTAGTTATTTTTGACATTAGTTATTTTAGTRTAGCAGAGAGTTTTCAACTATGCAACAATCCCCAGCAACACCTGTGCCCACAATTATGTCTAAATGGAGCTGTTACTGGTCAGCAGCTCCAAGGACCACACTGACACAGCTGAGACTCCTAATCCAAGTCAAACACACACAAGTAGGAGCACTAAGAAAGTGTAAGAAGAGTACTAAGGGATTAAGAAAATTCTAGAAAAAAAGCTGTGTCAGTGGCAAATACAAGTAATTGGTTTTCAAAGTTTGACTTTTCCTCAATGGTGCTAGGGACAACCCTAAAGAGAATTTAGAAATGAGAATATCTTTTGAAAAGTATTTGCTTTCGGCCCAGCATTTTTGCATTAAAATCAACTACCTTCCAAATCCCTGTTCTCCTATGCCACATCCCACACTCATATTTGTCTTTTCTCATTGCTGCTATCTACTTTTTCCCTTCTGAAGTCTTTTATTTTCTCACCATAATGAGAGTGGGTGCCAAAATTCTGGCTGGTATGGCCTTCCCAGTGCAGAGCAGTGGGTAAAGGAGCCATCACTGCAACAACTGACAGCTATTGCTGCTGGCAAAGGCAGGGAATGCAGTTGGATTTTAAAATTATTTAAAAAAAAAAAAAAGTGAAAAAAAAGGCAGGAGAGGAAAAGGGGGGAAGACACCATTTTTTCAGCCCAGCTATTTGAGAGATAATTGCTGTAATTTTGTCTCTCCTCAATCTCCTTGCTAGGCAAGCTTACCGAGGAAGGCAGATTTCTAGTTTTTAAAAGTGCTATAATTCAGACATTTCTAGAAGAAGTTTGATTAGTTTGGAATTTACACTTGACCATTGCAAAATTCTAGGACAAGAACCAAAACAATGGAAAAAAAAAAGTCAAAGAAAAAGAAACAAAAAGACAGACCAAAAAAAAAAATCCCCAAACAAAGAACCAAATCAACCAACAAACAAACAAACAAAATCAAACCCTATCCCCACTGCTGGAGAAAAGAAAAAAAAAAATTCACTTCGTCTGGCACAATGTTTTCATGTTTTTTAAATTGCTATGTATTTTCACAGCTTCAAATATTTCTGAAATATGGAATTTGCATTTTCTAGGTGGGGAATGCTGCCAAATTTGTTAATCCCAGGCAGATGTAAAGTTGCACCACTATATTATGATGTGGCTCCTTAAAAACAACCTAAAAGGATAAAAAAAACCCAAAAAACCCCACAACAAAACAACCACCAAACAACCACCACAAATATTCACTAACCCATATRGTCAATAATTGCTGTTTAATAATCCTCCTATTACAAACCTAAAAAGCAGCAGCTAGAATTACCAGTAGAGTATTAATAAACAGGAATGAGTTAATAGCGCATAAAGACCTTCTAGTGGAACAGTGGGGGAGTTGAATATTCTTTTCTTAAGTCAGCTGTAAGTAATTACTACATGGTGTGCTTCTGACTATTACCATAACAGAGCAATTGGACGTGAAGAATGGATAATAGTATGGACATGGAGGTATTTTTAGAATATCAGCAGTGAGGCAGGTAAATACCCTACCCAGGCGCAAACCTTTAAATAAGTTGAAATAACTTTTCCTAATGACACCTAGCCTGGACAGATTTCCGAAAAGATCAATCTAATAAATTATTAAAGTAAATTTATAAAGACATGTCTGTGATATGTAAATAAGGGAAACAGCAAAAAAAAAAAAAAAAAAAATAAAAATCCCAGACGTTCAGCAAGCAGGCAGCACTGCAGTAAGTGCATAATCACTGATTTCTGTGTTTCTTTTAGAGCAGTGCCTTCTTCTGTCTGGACATGGACCATGCTCCACTCTCCTCCATTGGCTGCTCCAGTGAAAACTCCAACTTCTGAGGTCATTCTCAGTGATTTAATGATGCATCTCATTTGTTTTAAAGTATTGTTGTGAGAGCGTTCAGGGAGACGCAAATCTGCGTTTGTGGGACTGCCCATCCCATACTGCAGCCACGGGCAAGTGCAAGAGGAGATTTTGTCCCTCCACACAACAGATGYTGCCATGTAACACCGGCTTTGAACCTTGATTCAGAGAACAGTAATTTTATAAATGCACTGAAACATAATTTAAGGAGTATTTTGAATTTTTCAGGCTACAGGTCTTTCTCTTGCTATGTTGCTACACAGGGCAGATGTTGATTTTTCAATTTGCAGGTTTGTTAAGCATCATGGAATGTTTTGGTTCTCAATCAAGAATATTCTTCCCAAGTGGTTGCAAAGTCCTACGCCTGAAAATAAATGCATGTCCTTTTTGTTTCTTAGCAGTACGTGTTCTGCATTCAATAGAAGCAGAAAAATAAAACAGATAACATGACGCTATTTATTGGACCTATATATACATTTTAAGTCTTAGGCTCTCAGAATGCAATTTATTTGCAGGTTATTGTCTACAAACACAGTTTCTATAAGGCAAGAGGCAGTTTCATTTACAGGGTGTCATACTAACAGTTCTATTCAGAAAATTCTGCACTGTAAACTGTGATGTCCTCGGTGTTGTGCCCATCCACTGATGTGCCCCTATATTGGTCAGCTCCCAATCACCTTATCAAAGCAACAGCCCCTGCAGTGATAACATTAATGGTGAGCAGTATGTGCACATACAAGGAATTTTAGGAAGAGGGAATGTTTCTGATTTGCATGGACACCAACAGACAGGATAAAATAATTTTGGCTTCCCTAAAGACAGAGATTGAGCTGCTGAGTCCCCCCCAGTATTTTCTGTGTTCAACAGCAGTTCATGACTGATCTGCTGCAATGTCATTGGTATCAGTCCTGTAACAATCAGATACAGCCACAGAAATCACACTGTGCCAGATTCACCTCTGCRTAAAGTTGCTGACTTGAGGGCATTTTATCAAGATGGGTTTGGCCCTTTGCAGTCTTCTGCCCCATTAAATCTAAAGATTCTGTGTTGTTCTTAGTCATTCCACTGTTATCATAATGGAGAGCTGATGTTATAATGCGGGTCAAACAAACAGCTAATTGTTCTTGGGCATGGYTTGAGAAAAAACAGAATGAAGAGTCTGGAGACATTAATAATAGTACTTGGTGCAATTATAATGGATAGCTTCTATCAGAGG